GACTCGGCTAGATAAAAATGACCTAGCTCGCTCAAAGACTATATCGCGTTTATCGAGATATCGAGTACAAAAGTGTAATATGTGTTCATAAAGATAATTTTATATTAACGCGTTTGTCGTACACTGGAATGATATAGAAAAACAAAACATAAAAACTAACCTAAAACAATAATTGTGTTAGATGGTTCAACGGTACAAAGAATCTCTTTTGCAGCTTTCTTTAATTTCATTGACACTTTGTGGGTTTGTTCATTACTGTTTTTTTTCTCATTCATTTATTTTAGCCTGGTAAAGTCGTGTAGGCCTCCTTATAAAGTGCGTCGTAAGGGTCATGGTTGCCAACCTCGGCAAGCGAGTTTACAGCCGCATTTTTTATTTTCTGGTTGTAGTAATAAGACGCTACTGTCCATGTCATGGTTCGTTTATCTCTGTCGCCTCTTACGAAACCCAAAGGATGATAATATGAGGTAGTAAATATACTTAAACTTTTACTACACGGTGTTATCATAAAAAAAAAAAAAAGAAATAAATTAATTCATGGTACATTCATTTTTAATCATTAGAAGATTTTTCACTGTTTTCTTTCATTTCTACTTTACTAATTACATTTATGCTTGACTAGGTCTTGTTTCCAAGGCAAATTGTCACTTTGGATATGAATAGCAAAAAGTATTCAGGATGTTTGTTTTTGTTTATATATTTTTATATTTCAAAATGCAAAGCGGAGATGGAACCGTTTATAGTCGGCGGTGAATTCACGAAGATATCTAAGTTTCCACATTCAGTATACTTGACCATAGACTGTGTGTCTAGTTGGATATGTGGTTCTTCAATATTGAACCAAAAGATTCTCTTAACGGCAGCACATTGTCTTTTTGGTTGTAAAAGGTATTGGAAAATACACGCGTATGCAGGTCACGAAGACCTTACCCAGGTAAATTTAATTTTAATCGTTTCTTCTTGTTGATGAGTAAGTTTAGCTAGTACAAATTATCCGATTAGGTAAATCCAACATCAATTGACATGTCAATCAATAGTTCCATTTCGATTGGATATCACATATGGCACATTTTATCGTCACGTATTTCTCTAAACTTAAGAACAAGAGTTTATAACAAGTGCGTGGTGGCAGAGATTACATATGGATCTGAGACGTGGTCTTTCACCGCTGGCCGCATAAGAAAGCCCAATGTCGCTCAGCAAAGAGGGTTATATTGGGAGTTTCTGTGCGTAATAGAATTCGAAATGAGGATATCCGTAGGATGAGCAAAAAATAGTCCAACGGATTAGTAGGTTAAAGTGGCAATGGACCGACCATATAGCTTGAAGAACCGAACCTCATATAGGTAGGCGAAGTGCAGGGCGGCCCCCACAAGGTGCAGTGACGACCTCGTAAGATATGCAGGAAGTCGTTGGTGGCTCTGGACTGTGTATTGCATTCCCCGAAGGAGGCCTATGTTCAGACGTAGACATGTGAAAATTATGATGATTTACAAATTCGACTGTGTTTATAAGCATTTAAACATTATTTTACAAATGCTTTGTATTATAGCCGTGAAAGGAAAAGGGAACCAAAACTCCGAGTGGTGGTTCGGAGCTATTCTTTATATATACTGTTTTACTTCAGAACTTTTATAGCGCGATTTAGGCTTCGATGAGTTTGATTTGTGGCGCAACGACAGCGCCGCCGCAGCATTATCATTACTTGCCTCTTCTTGGTTAGCTCGCCTAAATTGTGTCATATCATACATACGCAGCGCTTAGCAGACAAATTGGCAATAGTTTCTCGTAAACATTCTAGATATTTAGATATTGTTTAGTGGCGACGTAAGATAATCCCTTATTCAATTTCGTCCAGTGAGTGTTGTAACAGAAACTGTAGAAAGGCTTTCAATTAATGTAATTAATACAATCAGGCGTTACTTTGCGAAAATCTATTATGTTAAAGGTGTCAAAGGTGAATCTGCTACTTTTTTTACAAACATTTTTTATCAACATTACTTTGCGGTGGCTAAGCAGAGTCTTCTTCTCCTGAGGATGCCTCGTATAGATGCGAAACACGTGTTATATTATCGACAGTGGTGTGTCTTTCCTAGTGCAGTGGTATTGGGAGTAGTGGTACTGGGATTAGTGGTGACAGGGGATAGTGCACGCAATAGCAACTCTATTTCAACTACTTTACTCTTTAAAGTAGGTAAGACCCATCATTTTATTTTATAGCGCGGCTCTAAGCAAACTAATGTTTAACACCTTTAATTTCAATTATTGGCTATAAAATAAAATACATAACGTAACATAATGTAGTTCGAAGATCCTCTTTCAGCTATTTTTGCACGAAGATATCGTCATGAAATAACGCTCCAGATCTATCCCACAGGAACCATGAATTTTTGCTAGGATAGAAATTCTCCTGCACATAAATTTGTTTGCCTTTGCTCTATTGCTGCATGAAAGAACAACAAACAAGCAAACACAGTTTCGATTTTTAATATAAGTAGGTAAAGAGATTATTCGTCTTCAAAAAGTTTTAAATAAGATTCATTTACAGGTGAATGTCGTAAGGACAGCTGACAAATTCATAATTCATGAGAAATACGATGAAAGATCGATGTCTAACGATATTGCAATATTGGCCCTCACACGTAACTTACCGTTAGGTAAACATATAAAACGAATAACTATTAAAAGGTCACATACTCCTAGAGTGATCGCAAGTGTTGCGGGATGGGGGGTCACAAATGTACGTTAAATATTTTTTATATTCTTTTTCAATTAAACTTATCAAAAAAAGGATAGTAGTATCCGTCTTCACTTAACTTCAAAATTAGCTTGAAGGCACATAATTTCTAGCCATACGACAAAATTACAGCCTACTCAAATAGACTTTGGCGCTAAAGGTAGCTGTGAGGTGACGGTACATTCAGTGCGTACAGTTTTTAGAAACTCTGATGTAGAATGCATCATCAGAATGCATGCAGATGGCATCTGAGTTTGTTAAAAAAAAGAACACTTGTGAAGGTTAACCTAAGCTTTTAAGACTATCGATAGGGTAACCCTGCTGAAAGAAGTGGCCTACAATATCCTTGTAATTTATCACTACGTTTGGCAATGTTACAATTAAAATTCTAACTTGTTTTACGAACACTATTTTATCGATTCTGTTGCCGGTGTTCAACAGGATGACCCACAAGGGTCCAGCTCTTTTTAATTTGTAAATTCAACCCATCATTTCAAATTTGAAATCTAAGCTGAATGTCTGGTACCTGGACCAAGGTACACTGATAGGTAGAGTGAAGGTAGAGAAGAAAATTATGTCACTATCTAACTCATATTTTTCAAAATATCGATAATATTGTTCTTGAACCAAATAGCAATTAATGTGAAATATTAATTTTGATTAATTTATCTAGTTTTAACAGAAGTAATTTAATTCAAAATTTCAATCATATTTCCCCTCAAATAAAAATCGTCAGTGCGGAATCGTTATACCCACTAGGTGCCAGTAATAAAATTTGTTTTAAAAAACCCCCCTAAATGCATTAACAATTTTAAATATTGTCTCCTTTACCTAGATTTACATAATTACTATGCTCGAGTAATAATAATAATGGTAAAGCCTTACTGCAGCTATATTATGGTTGTAGCACGAATGGGTCAGTTCGACCGGAGAAGCATCACGCTGTCACAGTATATCAGCGTAAAATAGCAGCTCAATGCTGCTGTGTTTCGTATTTGGCATTCCATTTTAGTCCTCAGGAGTGGCAACGTATTTACATTTTAATTCTTAATCGAGGATAGATGTAGATGTCAACGGGCCACAGCATCCACTTACCATCAGGTGAACTGTGTGCTCGTTTGTCACCCTTATCCTATAAAAAAAATTGTTATGGAAGAAAATCTAGATTTAACATTAAATACAACAGTCTGGACTCCAGCTACTTTCCCTATGAGATGTTCCCAAAATGTATGGAGCCTGGGTCAGATCCTTGTACAATGTATACACTATACTCATAACACACATTTTAAACGGTTCTCAGCTGTCCAATTATTTTATTATGGCTTTGTTTGCTGGTAAAGCACAGGAAATTATACTTGAAATTGCAACACACAATAAAAACCCGTCATGGCGGTAAGCTGTCATTTCCCGTACCGGCCGGTTATTTCACGTATTTCGACACTGTGGTGACAACTGACAGTTCTCTTTCTACGATCATTGGTCGCTTTATAGTTTACTGTCATTGTTTATAGGCACAGAGTAACTAAATCGGTGAGATACCATGTTGAAAGTCGATAAAAATAATTGATAAACATCAATTGTTTACCACAATAGGATACATTTAAATGAACTATCTGTATTTTCGCAGAATTCTACAGATTTTTCTCTTTTTTAAGGTAGTGTACATAGATCTGGCCCATTTTGAAACATCTGCCTTTGTGGTGCGTGTGCGTGTGTGCGTGTGTGTGTGTGTGTGTGTGTGTGTGTGTGTGTGTGTGTGTGTGTGTGTGTGTGTGTGTATGTGTATGAGCATGGGCTTTTTAATTTTTTACCTGTATCGGTCTATGCGTTGAGCTATTTACAGAGGTTACTTACATAACATTAATATATGAATACCCTTGAACCGAAGTAAGAATTGTATGATTTTTGTCAATAGGTAGGTATTTTCTTTAAATACTACGCGGACGAAGTCGCAGATAAAAGCAAGTTTTTATATAAAAATATGAATTTAAAATAGTCATATGTCAATGTTTGTAAGACTGACCATAATATCTTTAGTCAATTTTTTTTTTTTCAATTATCTCTGTAATTTTGACGATAAATTTTTTTAAGCCGGACATCGTTCATTTAAAGGTAAACAGAGCTTATAATTACCGTGCGGGGGCTGTATAAGGTACCAACCATCCAACTAGTCTCGTAAAGTTGAGCCTTCTGTAGATGACAGTATAACAATCACGTATTTGTACCAGATATAGCACAACAATATCAGCGACTACTATGGAAAATGCTCATGCCCAGCTGTGCAGTATTTACGAGCTGTTGTGTTGAAAGAGAGAGTGTGAGTTTTGTAACTGAGAAAAAATAAAAATAAAACATATACAATTAAAACAAGTTTTTACTTCAGAGAGTAACAAAAACGGAATCACTAGTGTTGAAGACGGCGACACAGAGATTATTACCTCCGTGGTTGTGTGCACGTTATGGGTACTTGAGTGCTGGAATGATGTGTGCCCGAAGTCCCTACCCCAATGAGAGCCCTTCTTCGTAAGTTTTTAAGTGACTTTTTAAATACTCTTGATTACTCATAAGCAGGAAGGCTTATGAGTTTAAAATTTTTGACCAAAACCAAATGATGATTTCTTTGTTATCACGGACGTATAAAAATTACCACTATAGAAACCAAAACTACTTCTTGTGACTGACACGAAGAAAGCAATATCTACTAGACCCTAACTTTAAGTAATTCTTTTCTGCCTAGGGCTAAATCTTCAGCTAGGTTGACACCATACAGTTGCTTATATGCAGTTTGGCAAGCCCAAGTACACACACTCTGTTTCCTGGTCTGAAGAGTCACTATAATAATAGACTGCAAGTTATCCTTCTTAGTCTTCAGAGGTGACTACATGCCCGGGACCTTCTTTGTTTGAAGTTCTTTGCTGTTCTTAGGGTAGGGCACAATAGCGATAGACTGGTAGGGAGGACGTTCGACATTTCAGCTATAGTTATTTATACTGTAAAATTTTCGAATAGCAAAAGGAGCTATTTAAAATATGTCTAGAATAAAATATTACTTATTCCCCAACCTTCTTAATGGAGATATCGATTTATAAAGCAGCAGAAGCAGAGAAAAAAGTAGTCTCCTATTTCTGAGAGGGAGTGCCAGAACACAAGATGTGCCTTGATTTACATTCCTACCTGCCACCAAGACAAAAAAATCGCCATATGAAGGCTATAGGGTCAATATAACGTTCACCTTGAAGCTCTAGCGTGCCCAATACCAGTGACAAAAGACGGGGAAGTCGTCGAGTTATAATAGCGACACTCACTGGTTAAGGCGAGTTGTACCTTGCATACAAATACTGCCGTTCTCCCGTGACTCCACCTCAGCTGCAAGGGCTACCCTGCTTGATACTTCTTCTGCTACTTCTATCCGCAGTCAACCAACGCTCATCTGGATTGGGTTAATTGATAATATTATTATGCTTTGTCGCATTCCTCCGGGGGGCCATTGTCCAGCGGTGTATTTGTGAAGGGTTGCTATGTTAATGATGATGACGAAGATGACCAATGATAATGACTAAAATTTATCTTCATGTTAAGAATAAAATTCTTCTAATTCCAGAGGTGATTCAGGCAGTGCACTCATCACAGACGATTTTCAACAAATAGGACTGGTATCTTTTATATTCTCAGATTATCCAAACACGCCTATCTACACAAATGTATCCTATTACTACGACTGGATAACAAGAAAATCTCTTATATTATATTGTGGTTAATTAAAAGACCTGAGATAATAAAATCATCACAAAATAATGTAATATATTTTATCCCACATAACAAAAGTACAGAATAAATAATAGGACTACCTAACAAAAGGTTAATAACACTTTAAGTAATGTAATAAAATATTTTTCAATTCAAATAAAATAATTTTATTCCATTCAAATAAATTATATAAAATTATATAAATAAATTAATTATATAACTAGAGTTTTACTTATTAAATTGTTTTAATAGTAAATAAATAGCTTAACTATTAGCTTCGTAAAATTTTTGTATTATTTTTCACAGGAGATTTTATAGTTTTATCTTTTTCTCAATGCATCTGGACATATTTATTCAAAGTTACTTACAGGTACTACTCATGGAGTACTACAATATCCATTTATCATCAGGTAGATTACTAGTTTGACTGTCAATTTTTTTATTAAGAGCCATAAAACTACTAAGGGCGACAACGACAGTCAAAAATCCTTGGTAGACTTCTGTTGACAAAGTTCATGCAGAGTTGACATACATAGTTAATATAGATATGCATCGAGGAAAACGGAGCTTTTTATGCTCTACGATACGTTTAATTTTTTTTTAACCTTTTGGTCAAAATAAGTCCAACAATTAAGCAGGAGATATCATACCCTCCCCTCCCCCTTACGAGTTCCCACTTTGTCATTGAGGGCGGGCATGGCACTCATGCCTTGGTCGCTTACGGTGCACGAAGACGAACTCACTTGAGATGAGTGTCGGTATTAAGAGACGCCCCTCTGCCTACTCCCGCGCCCGAAACTGTTGGTGGCGGAGCTACGAATCAGACAATTTCCAAGCCACCAATAGTGCTCATGTCTTGTTCAAAGATGAGCATATTGATTTGCGAAATGTTAACATTACGTACGACCAAGCATACCCAAAGGGAAATGATAATACAGTCGGGTCTTGCTCTATCACAACAAATGCCGATCCTCTTTGAATTAGTTCATCAGCCGAGTCGTTCCCTCTGGATCCAATCTGATTTGTACATTATAAGGTGATTATAAGATCACAATGTTGTACTTAAATTGTTAAAAACTAATAATATCGCCATACTATCGGTCAGCATCCAGATGAATTAAGTAAGCCTTTATCTTCATATTTTCCTTCTTCATTAGGTTTCCTTCTTCAACTAGGAACCCTTATAGTTTCGCCATGTCTGTCTGTCCGTCTGTCCGTCCTCGCTTAATCTCTGTGACCGTTAGCACTAGAAAGCTAAAATTTGGTAATAATATGTGTATCAATCACGCCGACAAAGTGGTAAAATAAAAATTGGAAAAAAATGTTTTATTAGGGTAGCCCCCCTATATGTAAAGTAGGAAGTGATTTTTTTTTATTTTCAACCCTAACGTGTGATATATTGTTGGAAAGGTATTACGGTACCTTTCGACAATATTGATCCACTTGCGTCATATTGGTAAGGCAAAAGAGCTTAACAAACGGGTTGGTTAAAAAATGTCCCCACGAACTCAATGATTGCTATTGAGAAATACGCGTCAAGACGTGCCTTGCATTGCTCACAGCCACATAAACGAAGGAATTTTGAACCGCATTTTTACATGCAACGAAAAATGAATTCTGTTTGACAATCACTTGCGCTCAGCAAGTTGGTTGGATACTAGTTGAGCATAAATAATGTCTTAAAAGAAAACTTATCCCTAGAATAGTGATAGTCATTATTTGGTAGTCTAGCGCTGGTGGGATTACTCACAGCTTCTTACCAAACGGGATGTATACTGTGAAAAACTGAACACAATGATGGAGAAGCTCGCATGACAACAGCTTTGGTCAATTGTTCGCCTGCACTCCAGATGGTCTCCAAGTTACAACAGCTGCGGTTGGAAGCTCTCCGTCATCCGCCTCACTCACCAGACCTTGCGCCTACAGTGAAATTTAGTATGGAGGTGGGATCGTAATTACTCCTGTCATTATACACTTTAATATTATATAATGAAAATCAGAGTGAACGAATGAATGATAGAATGAATGAATGAATATACTTTATTGTACACCACAAACAAATTTACAAAGAACATAACAAAGAGCAGATTACATGTACAATTTGGCGGACTTATCGCTACATAGCGATCTCTGATGAGATGATGAGAGTGCACAGAAGCTGTCGACAAATCCAGTATTTAACAAGAAATCTAAACACATTGATGTGAAATATCATTTTACTAGAGAGCTGATTTGCTAACAAAAAGTCTATGTGCGAAGAATCATTGTATGTTTATGGAAATGTTAGGTGTTGTTAATGTCTAAAATGCTTAAATGATTATTTAGATAGTGGGGTGTTAAAATATGTCTAATATAATCATTTTATATACAAAGTAGTGACCTCTTTTGTCATAGTTTGTAAAGATAGCACGTCACAAACGCGGAGGGAGGTGTATTAATTGTTGTAAGGAATAACTTTTTGGTAGTGGAGAGGTGACTGGTGCAGATCCGCAGAAGATATTTGGGTCTCCATTTTATTAAAAAGATACAGACCGCCAGTGATATATAATGCAAACCATTGTGAGCTTTACCTGTGTAGAGAAAATACCGGTAACTCTAATACCCAATTACAAAATTTAACATAAAATATTAATAACATAATTATGCCAAATTCATGTAAATAAATTCATAATTTAGGGACTTAGGGACCTTCAAGAAAAGAGCCTATTCCTTTTTAAAAGGCCGGTAACGCATCTGCAATCCCCTGGTGTTGCAAGTATTCATGGGCGACGGTAATCACTTACCATCAGGTGAGCCGTATGCTCTTTTGCCCCCTCTCCTATAAAAAAAATATTATAGATGAGTTAAATTTTCAATCACCACCAAAAGTCGAGAAGATTATAAAAATCTGCAGCGAGATTAATCTACCAATTACTCCTGTGGCCGTGGAAGGAAAAGGGGAGATCTCCCGCCGGGCAAGGTGTTCTGCCCGGGGAGCGGCCAACACTCCTCGTGATAGTTCGGAGATGTTCTATATATACAGTTTATGATTCGCAATGTTGATAGCGTGATTTAGGCTTCGGTGTGTTTCGCTTGTGGCGCGACGACAGCACCGCCACATCACCCCCCTGCTCAGACCGGAGATCGATAGTGCAGCCTCGTTGCCGACGAATGTGCAAGTGCTAGGAGATTGCCTTGTAGTCTGCAGTGAGTCGAGAAGAAGGCAAGTAATCTGCGAGAGTGCCGTGAAGCAGAGGCGAGCAGTAAGGCTCAGAGCCGTGCTGAACACTGTATAGCGCAGAGAGTAGCTTGAAGGAACAGGAAGCATTATTATTCCAGTGCTGCGATGAACCTTGTAAAGCTAGCTGGCTTGCAGGATATGAAGACTGCAGACGATATCTGTTCGGGGGCGAATGGGTGGGGTATTTTATGACAATGATGAAGCTTGAAGTTTCCGAAGGTTGTTGGTTGCGTGTTCAGATCACGTCGAGGTCACCACTGTGGCCATGGAAGAAAAAGGGGAGATCTCCCGCCGGGCAAGGTGTTCTGCCCGGGGAGCGGCCAACACTCCTTGTGATAGATCGGAGATGTTCTATATATACTGTTTATGATTCGGAATGTTTATAGCGTTATTTAGGCTTTGGTGTGTTTCGCTTGTGTTGCGACGACAGCGCCGCCACACTCCTGTCAGCATTGTTGTGATGGGAGACTATTTGACCTGGTTTTTTCTTATGACCCTGTGGATGTTAAGGAATGCTATGAACTATTAAGAAGATAGAGAGAAGATATTGAGAGCAATGCCCAAAGGTGTGTATCACAAACCTTTGATTATAAAAGCATGTTTTGTTTTTAAATACATAAACTGGATGAAAACAAGAAGAACACTTATCTTTATCACATTGTGATTACACGGTTCAGCTCTTTACCAGGTTAACTGGTATGATCTTTTGGGAAAGACTTATTAGAAAAGAGATACATAAATATACCTTTTCTATAATAAACTAGCGATCCGTCCTGACTTTGCACGGGTGATTTCTAGATCTCGATAACAGCCTCACTGGGTCTACTGGGTCTAACTGAGTTTTTAAACATTCCATTCCAAACATTCCAGGAACTGAGTCAAATACACATAAAAAGATTTGGTTGACCCTGCAGGCCCATCTCTGAAACTTCCCGCTAATTTTAAATGCAAAGCGCTCCAAATTCCGCTTATATTGGAGAAAAAGAAAATTTTGTTTATTTATTATCATTTTTGTAGTGCGCGGCTCTACCACGTAAATTCTTATTTTTATTATTGTAATAAAATCGCCGTGTATTTTTATTATTGTTACGAGCTTGAGGTTCGTGACAATAAAAATTGCCGATAGAATTACCTAAATTAACACTTTAATTCACTTTACACTAATTAAAGTTAAAAACACTAATAATTAATCACACTGATTCACTTTATTCCGCTCCGAAGCTTCGCTTGGCTCGCCAACTTCAATACTTCCCCGATCGCATCTTGCAGTGCCTATTTATATAAATTAGCAGCGAAATATCCAGAATATTCAAGTAAACACGCGTAAGGTACCAAGAGTTCGTGTTTCGACTTCAAGAAGTTTAGTTCTTCGGTTCGAGACTAGATGGCGCTAGTGCCGTCGACTTGAGCGCGTAACACTGCCCCCTCCTAAGACATGCTCGTCCCGAGCATTATCGGCCCCATAATAACGCGCCAGGCGATCCACATGGACGATCTTAGGAGTCCCTCTTGCGCTTTTCTGTATCTACCGGATACATCGTTGATCTTGGTCACAATCCGGTACGGGCCGTCCCATTTAGCTTGAAGCTTAGGAGATTTCCCGTTGCTGCGGACTGGATTGTGCAACCACACAAGTGAACCTTCGTCGAACCCTTTGTTGTTAATTTTGCGGTCGTTCCGGGTTTTCATCTTTTCAGACATTTGCTGGCCCGATTGTCTGACGTGCTCATAAACGTCATTCATTTTGTTCCGCAAGTCATTTGCATAATCGGTTATACAGCGTGGAGCATC